TCGGGCATCACGAATTGCTCGGATCACGGTCTTAGCTGAGGTGCTCAAGGTACCCAAGCTAACCTGGCTCATTGAGGTGGTAAGGAATGCTGAGTCATCATCCAATTAGCAGGTCGCTTCCACGTGTCTGGGTGTTGATTGGTTGGGCCAAATTACCCCTCATCACCAAGTGTTGGCAACTTCCCCCTAGGTGGAAAAGTTACCGCACCTGAGAGATGGGTATCACTAATGATAATGATAGTGATACCCAAGTAAAATAAACTTTCCATAAACCCTATATAAATCTGAAAAAAAAGAATATTTGTATCTTTGTTAATGGAAACCGAAATCCCATTGACCAACTTTCCCCTCTCAAAATCTGAAAAAAGGGTGGGCATTAAGTACCACAGGCCCATGGCCAGGTCTATGGGCTATGAGATGTATCAGGGAATTCTTTCAGTGTCCCATGCCAAACCTATGACGTTTGGGTCTGTATTGTTGATACAGGGAGTCTCGCTTGCTGGTTTTGGTCCTCTGTTGGAGAAGTTTATTTTCCGTTTGGGCAATTCTGAACTTCTTGCAATGCTTGGAGGGGCTTCATGAGTGGTCTACTAGCAGTGCTCAACTTCATTTTCTCAGCAGTTTTGAAAGAGTTCAAAGACAAATATGTACAATACAAATATACGTACCAAATAGAGACCACATCTCGGCCCCACAAATACAGAAACCGATGATGTACCAGAACCGATGCCGTCATCGGGAGATGCTCTCAATGCACGGCGGGAATGTTTTGTGGGGCGTTGTGGAGTGGAGATGTGAACTCCACAAAATATAAGATTTTGCACCTTATACATATTTGTACTTGTACCCGGTGTTTTTACTTGGGGTCTTATTGCTCATTGTTTGATCTTATTTTGTATTCGGAGCATGGACGAATGAATTTTGCCTTAATGGTTTATAAAAAATAATAAAAATATTACAGGTTTCCATGTGGAATACTAAGCCAAGAAGCTTAATTACCTGCTCAGCTAATCCATAATAATAATAACAATGGGACGTCCCTTTTGTCTTCCCACCAGGAGCAGCATTCCCCGATCTGTTGATCTTGAAGAAATGCTGTAACAGTTCAATCAAGCCTGTTTACACAAGTATTAGCTGAATGAAGGAGAATGGGTTATCCCCCTGTTTCCCTTGACAGACTCCAAGTGCTACTGTGCTACTACAAATGTTTCTGCTGCTACTGGATTCTGGTTTTACAACAGCTGCTGGATCAGAAGAGGCTTTCAGTAAGTTCAGTTCCTTGTGTTAACTGTTCAAGGCTTTATAGTGTCTACTCAAGCTGGTAGGAACATTCTGATTTTTTCACGGTTTAAGGCAGCAAGGTCGCTTCGACCCCTTCTTCATGTGGGCTGTTACTGAGTAGAGAAGTCACTGGATGCACTTTTGCTCCAAAAATGCCCCGATCTACTAGGGTTTTAGGGATATAATATGGTGTGACTTGTGAGGAGAAAACCCAAGTTCTGGTCTTTTTACATATCCTTTGCTAGAAGTTTTGTGGAATCTTCTGTTTTCGATCCAAAAATGTCCTCGTGTGTGCTTTTCTTGACAAAAAAATGCTCACTGTGAATCATTTTAACTAATAGGGGCTGTGCATTGTGCGTAATGCCTAAGAAATTAGTCCATCATGTTCTCTTTTGTGTGGCGTGGCCACTTCCTTTTTATGGCAGTTATTTTGTTCTTAGTTTCAAAAATCATGGTCATATCCTTTAATGCAGAATTAATTTTGTCTTGAGTACATCGTATATAATTCTGTCAATTATTTGCTGGGCTGTTTGGATACAACTAAAGAATTTATCATTCTCATCAATCTATCTGAGTTTTGTGTTGATGCTTGTGATGAGGGGTAATTTGGCCTGACCTGTTAGCATGTGGTCACGTGGAACAGCCTAATGACTAGACAATTCAGCATTTTGGCCACCTCAGCAGGCCAGGTCAGCTCGGGTACCTCGGCCAAGACCGAGGTCCGAGCAGGTTGTGGTGACCTAACCAGATGAGTTTCCATGGAGCCCACTTCTAGGATCTAGCCAGTTGTCTTCGACCTTTTGGGATCACGTCGCACGTTCGTGAGCCTTATCCTTATCCTGTCCGAATTGGACGGACTTGATAAGAATTATCGGTTTATGCAAAGTCCATCTCCGGGTGCAAAACGGACTCCAGGTAACGTGGGCCGGGATCTCGGATGTGTTCTGTGAGGCCTACTGCAGCTCGCCTATACAAGGGTATCACCTCCAACTTTACAAGGTATGTGCAATATTAGCTCTTTAGCTCTCTTGCTTACAAAGCTCTTCAATTCGCACTACATTCTTTGCTAACTTAAGCATTAGAGTGCCCACATTGGGTAAGTCATCCCTGGGTCCTCTAATTGTTTTCTCTTGCAATTTGACCGGCCACTTAAGCAAACTAATGTCCAACCTGCCATCCAGCTAGGAGCGACCAGATTATGCATCAGCTTTGCAATGCAAGCTCTTGATGGTTTGATTTTAAGGGATGAAGACACATGGATTTTGTTCCAACTCATGAAATTTGTAGAATTGGAAATAAAGTTGAATTGATGGGGTAGTTGATAAGAAAAAAAAGGTGTCGATGAATTTGGTATGACAAAAGGGGGGGAGGGAAGAGAGGGGGAAGTTTAATGGAAGTGGCAAAGGAGTTGTCTAAAGAGGAAAGGGTGGGGAGAAGTTTGGTTCATCTGAAAATTTGGTATTAAGGTCGAGGTTTTTATGGTTAATACTTAAAAGGTGTCTTCGGATCGTAAGGGGTATTTGCTGTTAGCAAGATTTTGGTGTTTGGATCTGTAGATGTGAAAGAAGTTTGAAACAGCAGCTCTAGGAAGTTGAGATTGTTCATTTTCACGCTGTCTTGGTTATTTTCATATTAATTGGGGATATATCTATTTTTAATAAAATTTTCTGTTTACCATCATATAGGGCTGCAACTTGTTCAGGCCCAACCCAAACTTTTGTACTTTGGTTAAGCTTTGAGTTTTCGGGCTTTGCGCTGGGTTGGGCTTGGGCTGAGGCCTCGGGTAGCCCAAACCCAACCTGAGCCCTGCACAATCCAACCCATTGCATGATATGTATATTGTCTTGTGTATCAGTAGAATAAGATGCGGATGTATATTACATACTTATAATATAATATACACCAGAAACTATATTTAATTATTTAAAACATCTTAGCTTAAACTCGCACCATGCACAACATTTACAAATACAAATATGTTATGCATTTTATTTATGGAAAATCTATGATGCCAGAAAGACATGAGCGACATGAAACCAGAAGACACTTCAGCGACATGGAAAATCTATTTGCTCTGGTTAGCCACCTCAGATTTATCACTGTTATTTTCAGTTTAACTAGTCATCAAGGTATCAAGCAAAGCAACACAGCACAATGAGTAGATATCAATCGGCCAACCCCACCCTTAGACCCGGAACATGACAGCTCTTCTGTGTCATGAATTTGGCCGATTTAGGGGGTCACATGATTGGTTTTGCTTTTGAAAACAAAAACAGGTGTACCAAGTATACCCTTGCCAGAAAACCGAAACGATTACACCATAACTAAACTGAAAATACTTAAACGACCACTTCTCTTGATGAAAGTTGATTCCAAAGAACTATCCTACTTTTGCTCACTTGTTCACCCAGCCAAATTCGAATAATTTCATCTCACTCATTATTTTCTTGACGCTCCTTGTCTCATGTTCAAACAACGTAATTAAAAGGCTGGATTCAAGTTTTCTGATGATACAGAGCATAAACATCACTGTAACATGGACGTGGATTTTTTCCGACTGGAATATTTCAGCTGTTACTTCCGTCTCGCTCCCCTGCTCACTCTGAGGCAATAGCAATTCTGGAAGCAATTAAGTTAGCCTGAAGCCAAAGTCACCCTCTTGTGTAAATCGACAGTGATTGTAAGCAGTTGATCCTCTGTATTTTGAAGAAAGTTGTTGGATGCGCGAAAGAAATCTTTTTTTTTTTTTTGCCTCAAAGATATTGAACTGCTCAGTCTTAATTCTCTACGTTTATAGTATTCCAAATGACAAATTAACAATTTGAAAAAAAGGAAATGATTTGGTGAAAATCGTTCTACAAACGCATCTTTGTCTTCTTTTTTTATCAGAAAAGGATAATTCATTAATACTGAGAAAAGGAATACCAAAGAAAATGTCCACAATCAGGAGAAGCTCCGAGCTAGCTAACAAAACTAACCAATCAGGGCAGTTGAAAACAAAAAGTCCTGATCCTGCAAGCCTCACCTGGCAAGAGCATGTTCCAGGGAGTTCAACTTCCTGTTTACATACAAAAAAATAAACATCCTACTCTAAAGCAAGATCAAAAATATCTTTTAAAAATGAAAAAAAAAAAAAACGTTTGGGCTGTAATTTAAGATCTTCTTGCTCAGTCGAGATCTGGAAATTTCCTTAACCTGTGTTGCAGGGATGCCAACAATGTAGCTCATAGGGTGGCTCAACAAGGCCTTGTTAGCTCGGATACCATATTTAATAGTGTTTCGGTTTGGTTTTCTTTCTTGTTTTTCTCTCTCTGATGATCAACAAAACTTGCTTAGTGTTAACTCTAGTAGCTCTACAATCTGTTTCAGTAGTTTTTTTTTTCTTCAGTTTTCTTTTGTGCTGCTTGTAGGTCGTTGTTTTCATTTGCTTCCTTGTTATAGTTGTTTGTCTTTGGTGGCTGTATGTGTTTCTATTTCTCTAATGAATTATTTTTTCTCTACCCAAAAAAAGGATAAATTTCAACCTATATTATGTTGAGAAAAATAGGTAACAATAAGAAAACAACAGGAATTTCATTTCTAACTGAAAACACTCTCACTTTGATCATAAAGATAAAGTTGGGGAGGACTGGGGGACTAAGATGTAATGCATAACCGCTGCCATTTTGTTGTTTCTGTATCAACTCCCACATTGTTACCTGCTATCACTAATTCCGTCGTTCAAGAATGTCATTGCAGCCTTTAATGCGTTGATTATATTTTGTAATGATGTTCTAATTGATAATTTCTAGATAAAGGATTTATGGTATAGATGCTGATGACATAACAACATTAATAAATTGCTTGCATCTCCACCTTCATGCTTCAAACTGTAACCAAAAGCACACCACTTTGGACCAACTACACAATACATACCAAGCAAGAGCAAAGGATATGAATATGATATACCACATGGAAATGCAGTATTTTGATGATGTATAGCTGAGCCTAAACATTGTGGACAAAGAGAAGCAATCAGAAACTACAGCAGAGAAAATTCATCTTCCAACGGCGATGCTTCCGGAAGTGTCTCTGATCTGCCTTAGCCATTTTCACTGGACTACTGTTCCATTCTGAATGCAATCTGCAGATGTCATAAACCAAGTCAGACCATCACTTATAGGCCCTCAAAAATAGATGGATAGATAGGTAATATAGATGGTAACTTACATGGGAAATGCGAAAGAGCGATTGCTGGTTGTACTGCTATCTGACCGAAGAGAGATGCTACCAGAATATGGTATGGGTCCTGAGTATGTTATTGAGCCTGACATAGGACCTACTGCAGAGAAACTCGACTCTCCATGACCATGTTGAATGAAAAAACTTCTACTTGAAGCTGTTAGGCTTTCCACTGGTCCATCCTCGAGCCTGGATGTGTTTAGTAGAGTATGAAGAGGTTGTGGAGAGTCTGCTTTTTGTTTGCTTTCAACTCTACCACTGGTTGCTGATGTTGAAGGGTTGGAATCAAAGGTGATGCTTCTGTTCTCCACCTTACTATTTAAAGGGACCTTGTTGTCTGGGTTGCTGCTATCAGATTCAGCTGCAGGGGATGGCACTGCAGAGTTTGCTAAGGTACCTTCTCTGCTCATATCCTGTGATAAAAAAATCATCAAAATCTATTTCATTCTAGAAAACTAAAGATGCTCTCTCTCATATGCTTATGCAGACATAAAACAAAAAAAAAAAA